ACATAATAAATTATGTTTTTGACCCTCGAAAACTTTGAGACTTTGGAAAACGCTGCAGACCCCGTTTTAAGTTTGAAAACTCGAGGGTGTAAACGGACCAAAACGGAGACTTTTGGAAACGATGGCGTGGCTGCCAACATTCGCTCTGCATATCCTTGACGACTGTGTAAGCAATAACATCATGCTCATTGTTGTACCTGCATGAATGGTCATGTGACATGCGTTTTTTCGGTTGTGTAGTGTAGATGGAGATCGTTTCTGAAACGCAGTGAAATCGCCAGTGTAGACAAGGATCATTTTCATTTTAATTTCATTTTAAAACAAAAACGCACTAGTGTAAACAGGGCCTCACTAAATAGTGTTTCACATTGAACAGCCCATTATTTGCTATTTCTAGTCACAGGGAAGAAGTATTAAGAGGGCATTTTTATTCTAGAGAGCATCTCATTGGAGAACAATTTGTTTATTCAGTTTGTCCCCGAATAGAAGATGATGATGATTTGTTTAATGTTCTAGAAGAGAACGACTGTAAATTTTAAGTATGCACATATGCTTAATGCCTGCATACATTTTGGAGTGCACTAGCGTATAGAGTAGATGTCTACAAAGCTAACAGACTTGTACTAAAAGCTACAAAGCTTCACTTTTGATTTCATGGGGTGTAATGTATCGAGCAGAGCCAACAAACAGGGCTTATTGTGACTCATTCGCATGCTTTCCATCAACAATCACTACATCATAATACATGTCATATATAAATCTTCACTCCTGTGGTGCTGGAGCGTATGGGAACAGGCCTGTTAGCAACAAGCCATCTATGTACTTGTTCCTAAGGTTGGGAGACTGATTAGGGACTAACAGGCTGCTGTTTTCCGTCTTCTTCCTTCTCGATCTTTATTTTTAGCCATTTCAGGCACCCTTCCCAGTCCACCCAGGGAGCCTCTCTCTGTTCTAGCTCAGGCTAAGGCTACTCCAAATTCACCGAGTTTCAGCATCCACGGCGAGGAAGAGAAAAAGGGCCTTTCTGTCTTTCTGCAGGTTTCTCTTATCCGCCTTTGAAGAAGCTCAGTTTTATTCATGTATGCTCCATAAATATTGATCAGAGTCCTGGTTCAACGCATCTTTTTGCTTTGAAGGCTTATTGATGGATTAGTTTCGTGCAGGAATAATTCATCGGGCAGGAAGAGGGAGCGTTAGGGACAGCGCTTGATTTCGAAGTCTTTATTCAAGGCTTGAATCAAGCCTGTGAGGATGCGCAACACTGGAAACAATGCCAAGTCTTTCGTCTTTAACCTTAATATTTTTGGGAAAATCATTTCTGCTTTTAACTGAACAGAACTGCACCAGCAGCACAGTTTACAGCAGTTATAATAATAATGGGAGCCAGTAAACAAAACAAAAATGGCCCGATGTCAATCGCACCTCCAAAATGCAGAGCGAGAGAAAGATCAGAATAAAATATTAGATGTTGAGAGTGTTGATGCATATCCAGCCATTGCTTGCCTACATATTTATTCATGGAGATTAAATCCTGCTCTCTCTCTTGCGGCTGTTGAAGTATAGTCTATCCTCAGCCGTGTCTCCAATGCCTTCCAGTTGAATGGCTCTTAAACCAGAATCATTAAATTCGTACACATCCCATTGCCACTTTTCTCAGTTCCCCATTGAAGAGGACCTGGGAACATTGACTGTGTCCCAATATTCATTCTAATACTAAGTATAGCATATCATAAAATTGCATCTTAATGTCTTTGCAAGCTTTTTAGCATCTATTTAGCTTCTAGCCAAATACATTACCTGAAAATACATCGTAACTTTTAGGTTTAAAAACTGCTAAGAGCAGCTTCAGTCTTGCATTCTAGGAAAAATATTAAATAAAACATTTCCTTTTTCATTGCTCATGTGGATTTGGATAAAATTGGCTAAAAAAAGGTTGGACAGTTTGAAAATGCCCACCATTCAGGCACATTTGAAACCATTTTTAACATACTACAATTTGTAACTCAACATCTGTTATTAGGGATGGGTCAAGATTGTTAGCTAGTCATCAAATAATCAAATTGTTGACTGGCGAGGTTGACTAGTTTGTTGTAGATTCATTACGATTTGAAAAAGATTTATTTTTAGTGCAAGTATCAAGTCATAGTCATAGTTTTATTTAACAGCAGCAGCTCTGGACTGTTCCAGAACAGTTCAACCCAAATATTCAGATGTGTGCAGCGCATTTTATGGAGGACGAGGACTGTTTCCTGGGAGAGTAGCCTACTGTCTGTTTCTATAAAGTTGGGGCAATTCCAACTTTGCAAGGACAGTCTACTACTTCTGACTCACAGCCTGTAAGTACGTTTTCATATTTAAAGGATTTGCCACTGGCGATTCAAACTCCATCACAGTATGGTAGGGACGTAACATTTCCGTCACACGCTTGAGGTATTCGGCCAATCACAACGCACTGGATAGCTGGCCAATCGGAGCACACCTCGCTTTTCAGACCAGTGGGCTTTGTGAAAATCGAGGCGGGGCATAGAGGAGAAAATAATGTGTTTATTTACAGACGGAGGCTAGAGACACAATGAGAGGTTTGAAGGTTTTGAAACCTCCAGTGGTGGAGGTTTGAATGCAACGGTGTCAGATTATGCATTATGAATGCACTGATGACGTATCATGTCTGTGCGAACAGGGTGCATGGAGGTATACAAATACATATGTTGACAGGCAGATAAAACAGCCTATCGTAATGTTCGGACCGAATAATCTGATTGGTCGAACATTTTATGGTCCTACGCCTTCCACAGATTATATAAATACATATAAAAACATTTAGACCACATAACTTAGTGATTGTTATCGGGATGTGAAGTGACATTCAACCTGCATAACAAAAAATGTTTTTGAACCAAATCATCTACCCTGGCTTTAAATCATGACATATGCATTGTAATAACATGACAATATTTTTCTTTTGTTTCATCATAATGATTAATGAACCTGTTTGTATGAATGATAATGATTAATGATTGTAAACTGTGGTGTAAATATGTGATGAATTTTATATCAGTATAGTGGAAGTTATTTTACTCTACTATTCGAAGCTGCCACTTTCCAAATGTGGAAGTGTGAAAAATGTCTTGTCCAATTTGTAAAATACATATTAATTGTCTTTATTCTGTGTTGGAGTTTCCCATCATAGTAATGTCCTTTTTTTGTCACGTTCGTAACCGAAGCTTCTAAAATAATAATAATAAAAAAAGAAAAAGAAAAAAAACTGCCATTTCTCTAATGTTGTGTACTGACTATTCCTGCAGGGGTTTATGATGTTATGAAGAAAAGGTTCAGTATACTGGTAATTACTATTGTTTATGTAACACTATCACTGTGAGTGTCACAACTGTAACACTGGACTTGGTCAAAACTCAAAACAAATAAAAACTGTTATTTCGTCACGGAAAAAGCAAACGGGAGAAAACGATTCATTTAAAAGTTAAATTGAATGTGTAACTAACAAAATATTGTATTTCCCACATAGTAGATGAGCTTTTTTGTTACATCAAAGTTTAGGATGTTGATGTAGATGTAAATTCAAGCCGTGTGGGATATGTGGGTTTTTTCAGAAGCGGCTGTTTGTATTACCAAAATTCATAATTTTTTTCACTCCTGTTCTCAGTTTAGCATCTTCAGGAAAGAGTTCTCAGGTGCTCTGAAAGCTGTTAACAATTTAACAATGTACGTCAAGGGACACACTGTGAATAAGCGATGCTAGCAGGAAGGAAGGGATATAAACTACTGTGTATCAGCATAACTGAACGTTCTAGACCTGCTAAGATGTAAACCAATGACCAAGTGTTGGACCTACAGCAGCGTCAGTTTTGTTTGAGGTCATGAATCATTGTCTAGGCTGACAGGGCCCAAATTAAAAGATGTTTAGTAATGCATAGATGCAGCTCTTCTGCACCAGCTAAAGGAGTGATGAGGACCAAGAACAGCAGATGGAGGAAGACGGTACTGCTACATGACGAGGGCTAGGCGTGGGTGATATACTAGTAGATATGATTAATTGGTAGAAATTTGTCAACCGGTAGAGATTTTAGACTATGGTCTCTATCGCGGTTATACACTTGTGTGACATTGCTGTGCTACATTGTCATGAAAACATAATTTGCATGCATTTTTAAACAAGTTATTTTATGCCATTGAAATGCAATCAGCAGTGAAAAAGAAATAATTTCGCTATATTTGTTATTTTTGTCATTTTATATGCCTCGAATGGTTAAATACTCACTTATATATGTCAAAATGCCTGTCTTTGTAAGTATCCTTGTAAACACAGTAATTTAGGTCTTAAGTGAAAGAAAACAGCTGAGAAAGAAAACACATGCGTAGCAGTATATTAAATCTTAAAGTGACAGCAGTCTAATATTCCTGCAGTCTGTCATTCATGTTAATCACTCAACAAAAGAGATACAATCTCTCACTGCTCTTGCCTAAATCACTTTTGTAACTTTAATAAGAATAAATATATATTTCATTTCCACAGTGAAGAACATGCAGTGTTTTTATACATTTGATTACTTCATACAATGTATGTAGCATTTGTTCTAATGTAGTTTTTTTTGTCCAATTGCTTGTAATTAGTTTCTTATTCTTATTTAATCGCTGATTTTTTTAATTGTCTTCAGTGGGCTTGTATTAGTACTTCTATTAATTTTTTTGTGATATTGACACTGGAGACAATAATTTTGACGTTTCTATGGCATCAAAACTTTTGATGATATAAAGTCTTTATTTAAAGCAAAAATAACTGTATTGGGATATATATATATATATCAAATTACTCATTTCGTGTTATACAATTTTGGTCATATCGCCCACCCCTAATGAGAGAATATTTATTTCCAGCAATATTGGTTAGTTGTTTGTTGTGATTTCTAATCCCTTCATGTGGAGAAATGTGGACAGATAGATAGATTTTTAAAATAAAACAAAAATTATTGGAGTATGTATTACAAGACAATACTCTTTCAGTCTGCCTACTTAACGATTACACCTTTAATTCAGTGTGTTGCTTGTTTTTTGCATGTATTTGTGAATTTTCTTGCAATTCCTGAGTGAAAATTGGTTCATTGTAAACCATACACCATTTTTGTCAGTGCACCTTTTAGTAGTGCTGCACGATAAATCGAAATGGAATCGAGATCGCGATTCGACAGAAGCTGCAATTGTCATGCATATCTTTCAGTGAAGCACGGTTCTGTGATCAGCAGTAAATCTCCATCCAAAGGCCAGAGAGCGCTTTTGCGCTGAAACTAAAAAAACAGAAGATTCAACTGCTTTCATTGATTCAACGTGACAAATAAGCACACGACTACGGCAATATACGGTTTATCTGAGTTCTTATTATAATTTTCATTAAAATAAAGTATATTTATAATCCTTTATCACTGATTAAATACTATGAAATATGTTGCGTGCCTTATTCTGTGTAGGAATTTAGATTTAAGATTTTTGTAACTTGTCAGTGAACTACGGCTATGTGTAGTAAATTCTGCTCCATCTGAAAGCACGTGATGATGATTTCCTGCTGATTACAGAACCGGCTTTTTTAACAAAATGCACATGACAATCGCATTCGATTAATCGTGCAGCCCTACCTTTTAGAATTGCAATGAAAACCAAACTAGTCAAGATCCCAAACTGTACTAATATATACTTAGACACATATCAAAACAGAAGTCTCATCAAGTGCCACTTCTTGGTGTTTTCACTGATATTTTGATATTTTGATTCCAAATACTTTTTGGGCCATTATTTATGCTGCATGAATAGACTTAAAACTGCTCTTAATACAATTTTAATTTCAACATTATTTATTCTTCAGACATTGTTCTTTAAATAAAATGATTTTTGGCTGTATACAACATGACAAACATTTGGTTTTTGTCCACTGAAAATGGGTAATATTCAACAATCTGAATATGGAGCCTAAATGAGACCCCCCATATCTCAGGGACTGAACGATGTAGGGCCTTGAAAATGAAGATTCCAAAAGAAAAGTTTATTAAGAACTAGAATCTAAAATCATATTGTGATATCTTTAATACTTCTTGTGTTATAGGCACACAAACTTTGGAAAAATAATATTTATGGCACTCAGACAGGTATGTTTAATGCAGTTATTGTGACTTAAGGAAACAAGATACATTTCTAGTTTTAATATTATTTGTTTTTCAGACTTTCCTCTTTAAAAGTAAACCCACATTTGGCTTTTGACCACTGAAAATGTGTACAATTTACCAGTTTACTCCTGGAGCCATATTGCAATTCCAATATCTCTGGAACTGAACCATATATGGCCTTAAACATGAAGATGCCTAAAGGAAAGTTTGTTAAGACCCAATATCTAAAAGGACATTAAGATATCTTTAATGCTTCTTGAGTTACAGGCCTGCAAACTTTGGAGAAAACTTGAAAAGTGCTCTTTCCCTATTTTTGAATGGTCACCATTGGAACATAAAGCAACAAAGATTGCTAAAGGGAACAGATTTTACTAATAGACCTACCAATCTCTGTGTAAAAGTGTAAAAGTAATGCTGCCATCTTTCTGAAGTCATTTTTACCCCCTTGTAATTTGGCTCTGAATCTCGGGTGAAAATTGCCAAATTGCCACCCCTATACAAAACAATGGATTACTCCGTAAATATTCACCCATTCATTTAATATTTTGGCTTTCATCACTATACATGTTTATCTTTGTTCAGAAAAAAAACTTTGAGCCGGGGACCTCTGGTTGAGTTGACACGGAATGACCCTTAGGTATTTCAGAAATCATTTTAAGACATTTAACTGAACTCCGTTGTAGCATATTGTAGCCATGAAACCAAGAAAAGATTTAGCATTCTCAAGTCATGGGTTTCCTCCTATGCATGTATGTATTTCTTTAGTTAGTTAGTTTGTTCATTTCCCGCAACATAAAGGACACAACTTCTGTACAGGGTGCCATTCAAGTTGGAAGATGCATTTATTTATTTAGTCTCTTATTCTCATTACAGCTGCATTTATTTGAAATATTATTCAAATTTAAAATAAGGATTTTCTATGTGAATATATTGTAAAATGTAATTTATTCCTGTGATGAAGCGCTGAATTTTCAGCATCATTACTCCAGTCGTCAGTGTCACATGATCCTTCAGAAATCATTCTAATATACTGATTTGTTGCTCAAGAAACATTTCAGGTTATTATCAATGCTGAAAACAATTTGATGAATATATAGTCCAAAAGAACAGAATTTATTTGAAAAATCTTTTGTAACATTATAAATTTCTTTACCGTTACTTTCAAACAATTCAATGAGTCCTTGCTTGTGTTTCCACATTCATTCTCCTGTTTTTCCTGTCTCTACATGTTATAGAATTGTAGTACATTTGTAATTGTTGTTAAATGCACTATTAATTTGACCTACTTCTACTTTCTCTCTTAGATTGCCAACTGTGGAACTTCTACTGAATCGATGCAAAATGGCTTCAGATAATACACACCGTAGTTACTCCATCATACCATGCTTCATATTTGTGGAGGTAAGTTTATTTTTCAGCCAGAACACGATTACCTAGCTGCATTTATTTAACTTCCGTTCACTAGTTATCATGCTGTCCCTTACTCTCTGATACTGCTTTAAGATGTCCTTTCTTTCTGAAACTGGCCGGGTATTTAATAAAAATTTCTGTCAAATCCTGTTTAATTATTGGGAACTGTATGTAGGCACTTCAAAGCGCTCGTCTCCCTCAGCAAGTCGAGTTGTGCATATCTCTCAGACAGGACTGTTGGGTTTGTGAGATGAACTGCTGTGCCGTTTGCCTCAACCCGAGAACATTGAATGCCAGATATCCAGGGCTGTGAGCTGCTGATACTTCAGAGGAGTATACAGTGCCATTTAGGAGTTTAACGGTACACGTATTCGGACCAAAACTTTTCGGTACGGGTATTTCGGTTCGGTGCGCATGTGTACCGAACAAATACAGCATCCGAACAATTCAGACAATAAATGCCGTTTTGGTTATAATTTAGAAGTTAATTTAAAAACTTTGTGTGCATTTTTTTAAGCTGAGTGTTGATTATTATATTTAAAAAAATAAATATGAATTAATTTTAAGTTTAGGCTCTGTTGTTTATTGTAACCTCCCTATAGTTTAGAGCATAATCTTAGGTAGATTTGTATCCCTAAGAACATTTTAGTTCTGTCATTACAACTCCCGGAGTGATTGGCATGGTAATGTACATGACAATGTTAATGTTAATGTATTTGGTCATGGCAGAATAGATCTGCTACATTGCTGCTGCTGCGGCAGAGCAAGTACCGAGACTTGCTACTGCCAATACATCCACAACATGCTGCTGTGAGCATATAAGAAATATTGCTGCTGCAAATATAACATACATGAAATAACCCCCATGCAGCATACATGAATCACCTCATAGCAGATCTATACAGGTGGAGCTGGGGAAGGTGGAGGGATTCTGAAGCAAGCTGCACTGCTACTGCAAGCACTAATCATATATTTGAATGTTGAGCAGCAAGCTTATTGGCTACCGATACAGGAGAGAACCAATCAGCTGTGCCATGTGATAATGATGTCATTAGGCCAGATTGAGTTAGACCTATCAGACTGCGCCATCTAGAGTTTCATGCCAGAACTCTGTATTTATAGCTGAATTTATTTAAAGAAAGAGTAATTTTGTACCTCTTAAAGTCCCCATGAAATCAACATTAAAGTTTTTTGGGTGTTAGTATCAATATGTTAGTCTTAAGGTTATCTATAAAGCAGTGTGCTCCAAAACGGTGACAAAATTCGCATTTAGAAGATATAAGCATTCAAAGCTTGCAGTTCGTCACTTCCGCCAAAACGGCTCAACGATTTTTCTGATGTCACATCGTACTTCAGCATCTCATCAAACTTTGTCCAATCAAATGCTCTCTAGAATCCGAAGCGCCCGCCCCCTACACTATAAAATAGACGCTGAAGCCGCGGCTGAAATCGGTCACTTGTCCACAGAATTAGTATTTTCTGTACAGTGAATGGCACGTAGTGCACTATATAGGGGACAGGGAACAATTCAAACAGTGTAAATATACTTTCCATTGAGGAAAAAAAGAAGTTTGGTTTTGCGCTGTCACGGTCCAGAGACACGATAGCACGGAGCGGATCACATGCGCGAGTCGCCGCAGACCACAAAATGTATCGGAGCTATTTGAATTCAACACAGAATGCTATATTTTATAGCAATATGGATGAGATTGTGGCTGGCATACCCTGTCAAACGCGGCTTTACGGAGCTCAACGGCTCTGAACGGCTCTAGCCCAAGCTGTGATATAAACGAACGCTATTGGCTATTTTAAAAAGTGGCGGGGCTGCTTGATATGTCCCGCCCTGTCTTCCTGTTTCAGTTAAAATGACGTCAACACATAGAGTAACGCTGCGTGTTTCTAAGCATTTCAGGGAACCTTTAAAGCAGGGGTGCCCAACCTTGTTCCTGGAGATCTACCTTCCTGCAGAGTTCAGCTCCATCCCTGATCAAAACGATCTATTGTTGCTTTCAGTATGGCTATAAAGGTCATGCAAAATTATATTCAAACTCACATTAGACACTTTTAACATTGAATAAAGCACATAATCAGTACCTGAGATTATCACCGTCACCAACATTGCATGTTGTTGCGACGTCGCAGAAATCGAAACCGTTTCTAAAATAGAAATGTACTTTCTACAGCCTTACTTGTGCCTGTTTTTGATTTTTAGTTGCCTACTGAGTGTGCACTTGAATGACATTTAACTTCCTCCTTTAGTGCCGGTGCTTCTTTCCTTTTGTGACTGTGTACAATAGAGGGATTAAACGTTGGCAGCAAAGTGCCAGACCACTTGCCAAATAGTGTAAGAGAGAAATAAAATGTGTATCTATGCTAGTAGCTTCTCAGTCCGACTTCAGTTGGGACTTTTCATGCAAACAGAGATAAAACATGCTTAAAAGCATGCTTGTCACAGAGGTTCCCTTTACAGGGCGAATCCTCTATTCCTCAGTGCTTTCCTCTAAATGGATATGTGTGAGTGTGAGTGTGTGTTTCTTTTGCTTTGCCTTTGGATCTGCTTGGAGCTTTCAAGACACATCAGAGACGGAAACTAGGCCACACAGAAACGATCATGCAGCCTAATGCTCGCTTAGTGAAGACGATGAGAAATACAGTCGTGCGCAGTTTCTTTAGAGAGATTATTCCTGTGAAAAGGCACCCGATCTGAGAAACGTGTCCAATATGGTGACATATGCCAGCTACCTTTCTCTCCCAGCTCCTGACTGTGCAGGAACTGGATGCTCTCCATCTTCTGATCATGTTGTTCCTGTTTATGTGGTCAGTCATTGGGCCTGTTTTTCACTGATCGACAAACAACAAGGCAAAAAAGCGATGAGTAATTGGCTTCTGCTATAAGATCTTGTGCCTAGTTTTAAAGTACAAATATTTTGGTATTGTATTTTTGGTTTTAAATTCCTATTAGTGAATTGGTGGCAATCTACAGCCTAGTCTCCCTTCACCAGTAATGACAGCCGTATACCTGGAATACACCAAAACCATCTGTCGACCTATTTTCACTGTTAGCTCTGATAAAAGTAATATTCACGCATTGCAGACTATAATTATACCATATGCATGATTAGATCAGAGGCAATTTTCTGAATTTATCAAAAAAATGGTGATTACCCATGATGCAATACAACCGTTTGAGGTGAATGCTATGTTTAAGCAGTGTTTGTTGAAACTAAATACATAAGGTATGAAGGTGATGAGTCTTATTTAAACAGTCTTGAGGCATGGTGAAGATAAACAACTAAATGTACAAAAAAAGTTTGCAAGTTCAGTTAAATTCCATGAACCAGTTCAAACTGTTTCAGTGACTTGATTTGAAACTCCTTTGTTCATTGGTCAAAGATTGTTCATAGTGGCCATGGGGTGTTCTTCATATGTTCAAATGTTTTAATAAAATATGTGTAGGCAAATGTTGCTGATTATTACTATGCCTTGTTGTAGTACTTATAAATTAAAATAATAATCTTTCTTATAGTATAATTTAAAAAAATATATTGTAAAATTAATAAACATTAGCAAATTAGATTTAAACATTATTATCTATATTGCAGTTAATTAACGAATAAATAGTTTTGGCCAGTGCTTTTTTTGTACTCGATAATTAACTTGGCATTTTTAGAAACTGAAAAAGTCAATAATAGGGGTATGACAATACACTTCGGTTCGATACACACTACTGATCTCATGATACGATACTCTTATGATACTTTAAACAAAAAAAAATAGTTAAAACAGGAAACTTGTGTAGAATAATCATTTAGAATACATTTTAATTTGCGGGTAGACATTTGGTATTATTGGGACCAACTATGGAATAAAATCACTGTCAAAAATAATAATAATTTTAATTTACTCGTGCATAATTTAAAAGTATTGTATGTAATTCTGTTTTTTGTCAGAGTTGGATTCCAAAATCTACGCCCACGACAGTTTACAGATACGAGATTTTGTGTGTTTGTTAAGAGTACAACTCCAAAATGTACGACTATGACAGTTTACAGACACAACGCTTGTTTTCACAACAACTCTGTTACACGCATGACATGCGAATTGCGACCACGAAGTGCGGTGTGCGAAACGACTGTCAAAAATACGTCATCATTGTCACAGGCATTACTATCCGAGGGAAGATGAATCGATTCCACGAAGTGCCACAGTTTTAAACCACTGGCACCAAAATGGCGGATCAGCAGCCAAGCGCTCAGTCATCATCTCGGGTAAGTGATTTTTTTTCTTTTTCAAATTCGGCCATGTTTAAGGGTTAGTTATCACTAATGACAGAGAGGAGTAATATTACATAGATAGTTTAACTATAGTAGGTAAGATTAGCTCTTAGTGTACATTTAGGTGTTTAAAGAATTAGAATACAGCTGTTTAGGTATGGAGGACCAAACCTGCAGAAATTAAAAACAAATAAATACACAAA